CCCTTATCGGTGATGAGCATGGTCACCAATCAGAGCGTTTATTCTCATTGAGTCTTAGTCTTGGAAGGGGGTTTGCACTGAGGGGACCTGACCACTTGCCTTGATGTTTCCTGGGCAAGCAACTTGCTTATTCTTGTAGTAACAGTCGGTCTGCCTGTGTTGTTTTATATTTTTCCTGTAGGTCTTTCCTTCAAGAAGTATCTTCTGTTCTTCTAGCTGCTCCAGGCTGGTCTGCTTGTCCTTTCAAGTAGGAATTTCCCATCTCTGGAGATCTGGATGTGGTTCAGGCTTCCACCTATAGTCTTATGTATTGCAGAGGCTCCACAGGAAGCCTCCTTCACTGGGCACACTGTATCCCCATTTTAGGTATTACAATCAATTATAGGCAGAAGATGAACTTACAAGCTTTCTATAGTAATGTTTCTATATTCTAAATGTTCATTTCTCTCCCCCTCCAGTGTCTATTTTATAATATAATGCAAGGAAAACCAAGATTCAAGACAGCCAAGCATCTTAACATTATTCCCTTTTTCCCATTCCAATCATGTCTCAACCTCTGTATTCCAGAGCCCTGTTGTTCCAAGGTTATGCATACATCATTATTTACCTCTGTACCACTTAGCCGATTCAGACCTGCCTAATTGTTCTCCCATCTGCTTTGTTCTTCCATTCCCCTCTCCCTTCTTGTATATTGTCCCCCTCCCCAGTGCCCAAACTATCCTGTGTCTAATCCCTGCCCTGTGCTGTGCTCCACCTTCCCCTCCCTCCCTTAACATCCCAGCAATCAACAAAGAATCCCCCCACCCCCTTTAGTATGGGTTCTTTTTCTTAGTCTTTTACAGTAGTGGTCCTAAGCAGTATTTCTCTTTTGTGACTGACTAATTTCACTCAACATAATGCCCTCAAGATTCATCCATGTTAACTGGTGCTTTGCAGGTTCCTTGTTATTCTGCCATTATCTTTCAATTCCACTTCTCCACACTTTCTGAAGCCCCTTGTAAGCTACCTTAAACCAAATAAACAAAAAACGTGAAAGGAATTTAAAAAATAAATAGCAACATATGTAGGTAAATTCAAGGACGATTACAGAGCAGATGGGACTTGGGGTGCTACTCATAAGATAGAGTAAATTGGTGGTACAGGATTCAAGTGGAAAAAGGGAGACTTCCTCACAATTTATAAAGCATGGAAACAGAAAAGAGTATCCTATAAGAAGACTTTGACAAGCTGACAGGCTTGGATGGGACCAGGCAAAGAAACCTAGAATGAAGCCCTGAAACAGCTGAGTCAAGGTAGGTGGAGTGGGATACTTTAATGTTTCATTAAAAGCTAAAATCCAATAGAGAAAATTATCCTCAAGAATGCTTTTGTTTTCAAATGTGCCCCTAGAAGATCAAAAGGCAATAATTGCCTTGTTTCTCTGCAATCTGATGTAATAAAGGAGAAAAAAGATACCTCATTTTCTTGAAGTACATTTCTTTGATTATCAATATGGATTTATATTTTTCATGTAGTTAATGACTATTTGAATTTCTGCCTTTCTGTATCTCTGTTTTTCCCATTTTTATAGTGAGCTACCAACTTTTTTAGAGTTCTTTCTATATTAAACATACCAATTCTTAATCAATCACAGGCACCCCCGCTCCCCCAGGCACCTGCCCACTCTGGTTGCACCTGGTGAGCACGGTGTACTTTGCTGCCTGCCTGCTGTCAGCCATTCCCATCCTCATCCATCCTACATATGAACCAGATGAACTTGAAACCCCACTTCTCTACTTAAAAAAAAATAATTTTAATGGCTCTCTAATATAAAACTTATACTACTGTGAGGTCAGCTATTCAAAACCACCATCTGTTTCTCGGAAATCTTATACAGGGTCACTCTGTGTTGGACCTGAATCGATGGCACTTAACAATAATATAAAATTTGATGCATTACACTTATAAAATTTTCATAATCTGTCCCTAAAATGTTACTTTCCACAACAGCTCTATACGACCCTTCCACTCCTAACACACAACTGTGAACCATAACTCAGAAAAGTACTGAGGTTAAGAAAAATGTCCCCGCTGAATAAATAAGTTTAACAGGGAAGTCAAATTGGGGAAATACAGAGTACACAATCTCCTGTAGTTTCATCTCTAATTCCAACCCAGAGAAGAGAACACATTTGGGGAATGCAGCCTACAAGGCAGGGAGAAGAACAGTTTTAACTCACTGCTTCCATGGCAACAAGGTCTGGGTCTACTCTTATCAGCAAAGACCTCAAGGCTCTTGGAAGCCTCCTGGACATGGAACATTTGAAAGTCATGTGCAGTAGAACAGTGATTCAGTCTTGAATCCATGATTCACCCATTGCCGGAATTACTCATTCCACTTCACATCATGATAGGGTAACAGAACTCTGAAGCATTCTGAGTCATTAAGTACACTTCTTGCTGAGAAGGGCTAACATATTTCATTCATTCTTCTTATATTGGAGAAACGGATTATCTGGACCCTATAGTTGGTAGTTTAGAGCCTATGCCTAAAATAAGCTGAGACCTACCTGCTTTTCTTCTTCTTTTTTCATAATATAGCCAATAGTTTTAACTATCAAGAAGTACATGCCCGTTGTTGCATTTTCTTCAGAGAAATGCAGAAATAAGAAAATTTAAAATTGCCAAAGTTCTCCCCAGAAAAAACCATGGTTGGCATTCTGATACACACCTCTACCACTTCATACTTTCATATATATGGAACATATGGACAATACTATATGTGCAAGATGGGTATTACCTGTGCTGCAAACATATCTAAAAATGTGTAAAGCACTGTTGTTGTGAAGTGCTACAGAGTTGGTTTCGACTCATAGCAACCCTGTATAGGGCTTCTGAGGCTGTAAATCTTTACAGGAACAAAAAGCCTCATTTTTCTCCCATGGAGTGGCTGGTAGGCTTGAACTGCTGACCTGTGGTTTGCAGTCCAGTGCTTATCCTCTAGAGCCACCACACTCCGTGATGGAGCACTCAGGGAGCAAAACA